AAACCTGGAGTGTGACAAACTGTTACATACCTAATTCACACAAGTTCTCTTTAAACCTTTTTCTGAGTAAAAATGATTTTGATGCCGAATAGAGGAGAAGGGTTTAATCGATCTAAAAAAAAAATTTGAGGTTAAAAACTATTTGTCTTATTTTCAAATTGGCTTTTACATTGAAACCTAATTGAAATAAAGGTTCAACACAATAAGCTATGCATGGATTTCCTATCCACTGCAGAGGGATTTGGTGGAATGCATGGATTTCCAATCCATCGAACAATATGGATTTGGTGGAGTACAAGCAAACACATTCAGCTCGTCTTGGTTGTACATTTTAACAGGCATGTCAGTTAAAATTCACTTTTTTTCAAATTACAAAGTTTTAAGAAATATTTCATTATCTTATTTAAAAACTGGATTTGTTTTAATCATGTGATATACTGGAGTTGTTTTAATCATGTGATATACTGGAGTTATTGTAATCATGTGATTTACTGGAGTTATTTTAATCATGTGATATACTGAAGTTGTTTTAATCATGTGATATACTGGAGTTATTTTAATCATGTGATATACTGGAGTTGTTTTAATCATGTGATATACTGGAGGTATTGTAATCATGTGATATACTGGAGTTATTGTAATCATGTGATATACTGGAGTTATTTCAATCGTGTGATAAACTGGAGTTATTTCAATCATGTGATATATTGGAGTTATTTTATCATGTGAAAACTTTAGTTTTTTTTATCATACTGGATTTATTTTTATTATGTGATAAACCATGGATTTGATTTAAGTTTTTGCTCGAATAAGATATAACAAAACTAAAAACTCAATATAAAAGTTTTAAAGAACTGCATTAGGCCCAACATATAAACTCATGCAATCAATGTATTAGAAATTATAAACAAACTATATGTAATATCAAATGTAAATATTTTATTTTGCGAGGGGGGGGGGGGGCGGGTACTTCTGAATTCTGTACATTTTGACAGTCTTCATATTAATTACTAAATTGTATCTGAGTGCTGCGGATAAAATTTGTATTAGAAGAAATTTTATCAGACGCTTATTAGGTTTGACTTTTGTTATTGTAGGTTTGGCGAGAATAAGGATTTGATTCGTTTGGAATGATTTCTTCGGTGTGAAAGTGAAAGTAATAAAAATTTAGTCTAAAATATAGATACAAGTTCATGAGACTTTTATAAACAACTAGCTGAAGTAACCGGCGTTGCCCTTGGTATTTTAAAATGGTGTCTAAAATCTGAGTGATGATCAATTTATCTGATGTAGATCTTTCTCCTAATTTTCTACCTTGGAAACCCAGCTGTACCTGGAAATATGCTTTCCCTATAAACTTCCACTTACTTAATTTAAAATGGGCAAGACGACTTCTGCCCCCCCCAGTGATTGAAGGATGGACAAGGAATGGAAATCAAGAAGAAAGGATTAAAAACAAGAAATATAGAAGTCTCAAGATGTTTCCATCTGATATCATATTAAAATTTAAAAATATTGTAAAATTTAATTAACATAAATTATTAAAGTTAAAACGGTTCCGTTTTGCCTATATATTGTCTGTATGTGTACTGTACAGCTTTCTCTAGCAGTTTTAAAGTCGGCCCGGTACTTAAAATGAACCGAAGTTTCCAGTGCCCCCCCACCCCACAATACGACTGACTGACTGTAATGTTTATATTTGCAATGTGATGTGGTTTCCAAATAAAATGTGTAATGAAGTTTCTTTAATACACATGTTTGATAAATGATAGATGAAAAATCTATTAAATCTACCCAGAGATGTTGCACTAAATCAAATTAGAAAAAAAATCTTTCGGAAAGAGCACTTTTTCCTGGAGATGTTTTGATTTTACAGGATATTTTTTATAGAGAATGATAAAATATTCATTAGTTCTTCAAATTGGACCAAAAAATATGAATTTTTACATTTATTTTCGTTAACTGAGAATTGAGCACCTAGAAGGGGGGGGGGGGGGTAGATTATTATAGTACTTGCTAATCTATTTGTGTTGGGACCCCTCCCCAAGCCTTTATGCGGCAGTAAAAAATTGAAATTACAGATAATTCCTTCGTTAAAATTTGTCTATTTACATATTTATCTGAATTATCTTGCTTCTGCAGGATAAATATTTGTGTTTTGATGAATACACAATAATATTAATATTGATAATATTAATAACAATAGAAAATACTTTATTAACATTTTTACTATCCAACTATAATTAAAAAAAAGATAAGAATTCCACCGCCCTTTTGGATCCCCCCTGTAGTGTAGATAATGTTAGAAAACTGAGCTGTTTTTCTACATTACTTTTTGAATGGGATTATGCTTAATCCCTGTGATCCTATTTGACAAGATTCAACCAATCATTCTTGATCCTCTCTCTACCAACATAAGCATTATTATATTATAAAGATTTATTCACACAAAAAGTTATACATTCATATATAAATGGTGTAGTTTAAATATGTTTATATATTTAGAATATATAGTTTTACAAAAGAAAAACAAATCAAATAGGCAACATTGATCATTAATCTTACATAGCATATTTATCATTTCAGTAATTACGTGAGCATCAAATCCTTCAATATACAAACTATTCATTCTTGCATTTAATATTTCTTGTAAAACCGGAAATTTCCATCATGCTCATTGGCCAATGGGACATCAAAATATTTCATTTGTTTCTTAACTAACATTTTTTACAAGAACTTTTAAATACAAGAATGAATAATTTATTTCTTGAAGGATTCAAAGATTGCGTAATAACTGAAATGATAAATATGTTATGTAATGAGTAATGATCAATGTCGTCTATTTGTGCATAATTTTGCATATTTTTCTCTTTTCTTTTGGAAACCTGTATTTTTAAAAATTTATTTAAACAAATTTAAACTACACTATTTATATATGTATTTATATCTTTGTGTGTTAATAAATCTTTATAATAATATAATAATTATACTAAGATCAGATAAATTTACAAAAAAATCATTTGCAATGGAAAATAAAATTCTGCCAAGAACTGTGTTAAGGTAACTTTTACATAAATTAGAAAGAAATCTAATGCAAAGCTTAGAACTTGCTTCAATAGTCTCATAGAAAGACACACATACTGGCTAACATAGATTTTACATGTGAACATTGTGAAATACTTTCAATCAAATGCCTATGGAACGGGTATCTCTTTAAGGCACATTGAAATGAATTCTAATAGCAATATTCCATGTTGCATACAATTTTGAAACACTGCACATTGGGAACTCAAGTCCCAAATACTAGATCCATAAAAACTTACAACAATAAATATTATACAGTTCTAAAATAACATCTGAATTGTTAAAATGAAATTCTTGCAGTTAAGGGACTGAATTTTGAAATTTCAATTTGTGGTCATTGAATTATCACTTTTCTTTAGAAAAAATAAGGCATTTAGTTTTATATTTTCTATTCGAATATTTGTACTTAATTTCAGTTTAATAGCTTTAGCAAAATTTCACAAAGGAATTGAGTCTTTGGAACAAAATCAAATATTTAAAACTCAATATCTTTAGATTTCGATGTTGTAAACCTTTGATATTTCAAACTAAGATTAAAAAAATAGTTCTACCTCTGCAATTTGGCTAGCTGCAGAAAACATCCAAAAAATTCATTCATTTTTATTTTCAAAATTAGCCATAGTGTGATTGAAGGATGGACAAGGAATAATGTTGTAAACCTTTGATATTTCAAACTAAGATTATTTGATCTAACAGAATTCATAGTTTGAAATATCTAAGGTCTGAAACATTTGGTTCCAAAGATATAGTAATTAGAAAATCAGAGTTTGTGGCAAAAACTCAATTCCTTTTCACCATTTCATGAAGACCTGTTCTGCTAGGAGAAAGCAGAATAATATCATCTGCATATACCCATATAGACACCCTGGATTTGGCATCCAATCGTTGAACAGCGTAATATCTTGAAAATTTTGTCAATGTATATACAGAATAGCACAGGGGAAGAAACTGCTCCTTGTCTGACTCCATTTTGTACATTAAAGGTATTTGAGAACGCATTACCCCATCTAACATTAAATTTTTGATTTAAGTAAATGAACATTAAACAATTTAATGCTAGAGGTGAAACACCCCTCTCCAATAACTCTGAGAAGAGCACTTCCCATGACACAAGATCAAATGCCTTACTCAGATACATTGCACAAGCATAAAATGCTCTACCAGCTCTGTTGTAATAATCCGGTATAGAGTTGACCCCCCAGCTGCACATTGTAGTACTGGCTAGCTTCTGAAAACCAAACTGATGTTCATCTGTGGTCAGCTTCAGAATTAATTTCAACCATTTTCCAATGGCAATTGCCCTGTAATTGTCACTGGTAGCAATGCCATCTAAGTTGTCCTTCACTATGGCTTCCAATGGCAATTGCCCTGTAATTGTCATTGGTAGCAATGTCATCTAAGTTGTCTTTCAATATGGCGCGCTCTCCATGGCAATTGCCCTGTAATTGTCACTGGTAGCAATGTCATCTAAGTTGTCCTTCACTATGGCTTCCAATGGCAATTGCCCTGTAATTGTCATTGGTAGCAATGTCATCTAAGTTGTCCTTCAATATGGCTTTCAATGGCAATGCCCTGTAATTGTCACTGGTAGCAATGTCATCTAAGTTGTCCTTCACTATGGCTTCCAATGGCAATTGCCCTGTAATTGTCACTGGTAGCAATGTCATCTAAGTTGTCCTTAACTATGAGCACTATTATGCACACTGCACAGATGTAAAAAAGCAGGAATTTTGCCTGTAACCAAAAACCATTTGAAGAGGGTGGTCATATGATCTATTAACTTTATAGATACATTCATTAAGCAATCTGAGCTAAAGTCAATTGCTACATCACTTTTCATTGCTTTGAATATTAACATATTCCAGTATTCATAAGCTTAGACGTAACCGGACAGCTATAGGGCTCAGAGTTAAAGTATGGAGCAGTGTGGTTCAAGTAAAGAGCAGTATTGTACAAGTGGAAAGCAGTGTGGGACAAGTAGAGAGCAGTGTTGTACAAGTGGGAAGCAGTGTGGGACAAGTAGAGAGCAGTGTTGTACAAGTGGGAAGCAGTGTGGTACAAGTAGAGAGCAGTGTTGTACAAGTGGGAAGCAGTGTGGGACAAGTAGAGAGCAGTGTTGTACAAGTGGGAAGCAGTGTGGGACAAGTAGAGAGCAGTGTTGTACAAGTGGGAAGCAGTGTGGTACAAGTAGAGAGCAGTGTTGTACAAGTGGGAAGCAGTGTGGGACAAGTAGAGAGTAGTGTTGTACAAGTGGGAAGCAGTGTGGGACAATTAGGATGCATTTTTGTACAAGTAGGGAGCAATGTTGTAAAATTAGGGAGCAGTGTGATACAAGTAGGGAACAGTGTTGCGCAAGCACAGGGCCGTGTGGTACAAGTAGGGAGCCGTGTGGTACAAGTAGGGAGTAGTGTGATATGTTATAAGTACACATTTCGAAAAATGTATAGGCGCAGAATTTCTTCTGGAAACTTGGGGCTTAGGTCTCCCAACCATCGTTCATCCAAGATTTCTCTTAGATTGTTCCACGAATCTACCAATCCAGCATCGATGACACAAAACCATAGTAATTCAATATAAACTCAATTTTCCAGGATTTTCTAGATTTCACAACTTTTGAATACTAGACATTAATACCTAAAATGGCTATCCTAGTTTTTCTTGGGATAAATTAATTGTAAAAAAACTAATCAATCTAATCCTGCTTTACTTCAGAATATTAAATTTTAAAGAATGTGAAAATTCGTAATATATGAAAAATAAAAAATAAAAATAAACTAAAAACTAAAAAATAATAATAATTAAAAAATGAAAGACTAAAGTCATTAACAGCAAAAACCACTTTGATGAGTAGTTGGAACAAGATCTGGAGTGGACATGGTCTGGTCTGGGCCAACTCATCTGCAAAAACATTAAACAATCCAAAAAACAAAAAACTGTGGAAGACGATGCCTGGCCGCCTTAAACAAGTTCCACAAGATTCAACGGAATGAGATAGAATGGATACGGGGCATTGTACTGACGGACAGTCTAACACGTGTGATATTGATATAGACTCATGTTCTGAACCCTCTAGTAATAAGTTATAAGAAATATAGATACTGGAAGTACTTTATGCGTTTTTATCAGAGTCTGACCCACGTCCTCTATAAAACTAACAAATAAATCAACAACCTCTGTAAGGTAAAATGTGCTCTTTTTTTTAAAAGGGGCACTGGACCCTTTTTATAAAAATACATGGGTCCAGTGCCCCTTTGACACTGGACCCATGTTGGGTCTTGCATTTCAATTCTTTTTCCAAAAAACCTATTGTTTAAATGCAATCGACTTGGCCCAGTCCACCCTGTCCTCGCTCCAGTTATTAAAACTTTTTCGTATAAAAACACCATTGTTGTTAATTTTCCGTCCTAGTGTCTTTTAACTCTCCTCTCAAGAAGTCAGTGTTGTACAAATAGGGAGCAGTGTTGTACAAGTAGGGAGCAGTGAGATATAAGCAGGGAGAAGTACTAATTATAAAGATCTGCAACGATTTGTCTAATATCTAATGCAATCAGGGTATGGGGGGGGGAGCTTAAAGCTCTCGTCTGATGTTAAAGTATGTTAGCAAAATAATTCTAAGTAACAAGATTAGTCTGAAAGGAGTAAATCTAATATCTTCACTTCATACTTGATCAACAAAATAAAATGGAAAAGATTTTGAGGAAATTCTTTTTATTAGTTAGGAGGTATCCTATTCCTAAAGTCACGCTATAGTTTATATCCTCATTATGCATCCATCCACACTGTATTCTATCATGATCATTGTATCCATATAGTTTCTTATTACTAGCCTGTTAATACAAGTTATCCTGGCAGGGAATAAATTACACAAGATATGGAGGAGAAATCAAATTATAATCCGTAGGGTCTAAATAACATGAAAATTAATGCTTGAATCTGAGATTGACACCTCAACAGATCTGATTTTTGAGATCAGAACTTTTGTGTGGATATTGTTAATCTAGAACCAAAGAGAATAGAATATATATTAGAGGGGAATTTACTAGAAAAAAGTGTAAAACGGCCATTTTGTTGTACTGTTTCCATACTGTAGGTGTACTTTATGCTATATAACCGTTTGGGCCCTGGAATATAATTTTATAGAAAATCTCAAATTAATGTTAAAAGAAAACCAAAATATGAAAAAGACTGGTTTCATAATTGACCAATGATCATTTCACATAGACTCTATGCCTTTCACTTTACAAACGATGGTTTTCCGTTATAACTATAAATAAAATGATGTTTTTTATTCACCTAATTCATTTTATAAAGTTTATTTAAGAGCTTTAAAAAATTCAACATTGAAATGGATAGTCAAGGGAACATACTGTATTGACGTACTGCATATAATTTGTGAACATTTACATGATTTGTACACTTTGAACTCCCTTTTAGGCTGAAAAGGGACTGACAAAATTCATACCGAGAGATTTTCTAAATTTCACTCTAATATATATTCTATTCTCTATGCCTAGAACGCTTGATCTCAATATCCATTTAAAACTTTTAACTACTGGACACATATGTATGAGTCTGTAAACAGTAAACTAAAAACGTTAAACTGAGATGGAATTTAAAGAATTTGAGCCGCGGTTTAAATCTGCCAAAACCCGGTTTAAATTAAGCGCCGGCTTAAATCTTGAAACATTTGATACAATTTTAAGTGGAACCAACCATATTTAAGCCGCGGCTTAAATTTAAACCGCCGCCCAAATTTTTTATTTAAATTCGGCCACTGTAAACCGTAAACCATAAACTGTAAACTAAAAACAGTAAACTGTAAACCGTAAACCATAAACTTTAAACTAAAAACGTTAAACTGTAAACCGTAAACCATAAACTGTAAACTAAAAACAGTAAACTGTAAACCGTAAACCATAAACTGTAAACTAAAACAGTGAACTGTAAACCATAAACCATAAACTGTAAACTGTAAACCGTAAACCATAAACTGTAAACTAAAAACCAGAGGCGCAACTAGGGGGGGCGGCCGGGCGCACGCCCTCCCCCTAGAACCTGAAGGGGGGGGGGCGCGCCCCCCTGCAGAATGAAAGGAAAGAAAGAATGGCGAAAATCAGTATCACAGGAATAAGAAAACAAATAAAGTTATTTTAGAAATTTTATTATACTATAGTTAGTTTAAAAAAAAATATTTTTATCTTTCTCAATTCTCAGGGCTAAAGGCTATTGTAAACATTTAATGTAAAAAAAAGTTCTGAACTGTATTTTATTTGTGTTGAGTTTATAGAGTACAAACTGTCTCTTGGATACTATTATAATGCAGCTAGATGAGAGATTTGCTCCAATAACATCAAAGGCCATGGGTTTGCTTTACTTGTTACAAGAGAAAATAGCTTCTCATACCCTGGCTGATCTCAAGAGTAAACTTTCAGAGTTTAGAGTTTTATCAGTCTTTACTTCCAAATCCTTTACTCTTCTGGACCGAACTTGTACTATACAAGAGCAACCTGGAGATGAGAGGGAGCAAAGCCATTCCAACAAATCTAGACGAAGCTTTGCAGGAAATAAATCCTTNACAACTTAAAATTTCCTTTGTTCGACTTCAAACCCTTAAAAAAACTTTTTTTTTGAAAAATTTTCGAAAAGGGGGGGTAACCCCCCCTTAACCCCCCCTGACCCTTACAAAATAATATATTGCCCCCCCTAGCAAAAATCCTAGTTGCGCCTCTGCTAAAAACGGTAAACTGTAAACCGTAAACCATAAATTGTAAACCAAAAACAGTAAACTGTAAACCGTAAACCATAAACTGTAAACTGTAAACTGTACAATGTAAAAAAGTATGTTTGATGGAAAAAAATGTAAATGAAGGATTTGTATTCAGCTTGTGTGTATACCGAGTATACCTGGAGCCAGATGAGAAAGATTTAAAATGTACGGAAAAAGAAAAGGAAGATGGATGCCTGCGGCTGAGGGATAGATTGTGTAAAATTCAGATTTTCATCTTAATTTTCTTATTTTATTCTACACAGGCCGGGGAATGACGTAATACAGTATTCTCAATAACAAAAGTGAATGTTAGCGTAATATTATTCAAGTAAATTATATATCAATGTTTTTTTTTGTTGAAAACTATTCATTTTCACTGGCGGGTTCTTAGTAAAAGTGATTTGGGCATTTCTTGCTTCAGAAATTATCATCTTCCAGATTATTAATTAGATTTAGGTTGTAGAGTACCATTATGAATTCGGTCAGCCATGTTTTCCTATATGACACTCCCTTTAAACGCATTGAATTGTTAACCAATCCATTTCATATATATTTAATCCAAGCACTATTTTATACTTAAAACTACGTCTGAGAGTGCAACCCTCAAAACAATTTATTTTGAGTAAGATTCTCTTCTTCAAGATGATGAATAGCATTTATTCTGCATATATAAAGCTGCAGCAACCCTATATGCATTATGCATACTGCATACTGCATACTGGGCTTTGCTTAAAGATGAGATTACTTCTACTCCAAGGTTACCATGAAAACATCTGATCAAAGTAAGGTCAGTTGTATGGAAACCCTTGATGTAGGAGCTAGACTCCTAAATGTATCGTATGTTTTCTAGTTCTAAACTATTGTATTTTTCAGTGTACAAACAACCGAAGAATAAAGATTTGATATCATTACTCTTCTATACCTTTGGTAGCAGCCTATCTGTGAGATTAGACTATGATTCCTACATTCTGTTTTTGGGTTACCCATTATTCATCCAACAACTTAACCATTCAAAATATCATTTGTTAATATTTAAATAATAAACAGATATTACTCTAATCTAATTATTATTGTTGAACAAACACCAAATCAGCCTGAAACCAGTAAAACTTGAAACACATCCAAACTCATTTATGCAAACTAATTTATCCTTAAACAAATCCAAACTAATTTAGCCTTAAACAAAGCAAGACTAATTTATCCATAAACAAAACCAAACTAATTTAGCCTTAAACAAATCCAAACTAATTTATCCTTAAACAAATCCAAACTAATTTATCCTTAAACAAAACCAAACTAATTTAGCCTTAAACAAATCCAAACTAATTTAGCCTTAAACAAATCCAAACTAATTTATCCTTAAACAAAACCAAACTAATTTAGACTTAAACAAATCTAAACTAATTTATCCTTAAACAAAACCAAACTAATTTATCCTTAAACAAATCCAAACTAATTTAGCCTTGAAGAAAACCAAACTTATTTATCCTTAAACAAATAGAAACTCAGTAAATGATAGCTAATTTTTTTTAACACATCCTAACTCATATATGCAAACCAATTTATCCTTTAACACATCCTAACTTATTTATGCAAAAAAGTTTATCCTCAAACACATCCATTCTCATTTATGTTAACCAATAATTATCCTAAAACAGATCCAAACTAACTTATGAAAACCAAACCTGATCTTTCTTTGAACTAATCGATTTCCTAGTTTGTGAAATCTGCAGAAATATTCTGACTAAAAGATGGAGAAAGTTGGAAGGATATCGTTAAACCAATCTCATGATTGAATTTCCAATGAAATCTTCTCCAACACTGTATTCGGCACCTTTTACTCACCTTACTGGATGATGGGGGGACTCAGAGTCAGATAGAGCTTAGTATATATCCAGGAAATACCTTAGGATATCCAGGAAATACCTTAGGATATCCAGGAAATACCTTAGGATATTCAGGAAATACCTCAGGATATCCAAGAAATACCTCCGGATATCCAGGAAATACCTTAGGATATTCAGGAAATACCTCAGGATATCCAGGAAATACTTCAGGATATCCAGGAAATACCTCAGGATATCCAGGAAATACCTCAGGATATTCAGGAAATAGGATATCCAGGAAATACCTGAGGAAATCCAGCAAATAGAATATCCAGGAAATACCTCAGGATATCCAGGAAAAGTTTCAGGATATACTTGGGAAATATCTCCGTGCTCAAGGTATATCCAAGAAAGAGTTTTGGATATATCAAGGAAAAAGCTGGATATATCCATGAGAGAGCTCTGGCTATATCCATGAAAGAGCTCTGAGCTGAAAACTTTAGAATGGATGTTCTAAATTCCGATTGGTTAATTAATCTGAAGATTAATAACAAGAGGAGAACAAGCATTATTGAATCTGGAGATTAAGAAAAAGAGTGGATCAAGCATTATGTTTCGCGACGGAATATGGCCGCCTTAAAATAACCTAACGTATCGACCATGATCTGCTACAGGGTTACGATTGGAACCAGGCCAATGTCTCAAATCAAGACAGGAATAAAACACTCTGAAGAATTGTTCGATCTATAAAAGATTGCCCGATTAGTTTATTTATAACTGTAAAAAATACAATATGCAGAGAAGAAAATATATACAAAATTAGTTCATGAAAATAAAAATCTTTACTAGCTCGAAATATGTAATAAATTCTAAGATGGATAAATTTAACTTTAATTCGAACAAATACAAGGATAAAATACAACAACACAACAAATACAAGGATAAAATACAACAACACAACAAATACAAGGATGAAATACAACAACACAACAAATACAAGGATAAAAGCTCATTTCTCATTTTTAAGAATGCAGTAATGCTTAACTAATACCTTAATGTGCCGTAAGTAGATCACAACAAAAATACTTCTGTTTCAAAATATCGTAACTGACGATAAATGGCGGACACAGTATAAATATAAGGTAAAGTTTACAAATCAAAACTAGTTTCGTCGCTGCAGTACGAACTTGACTTGTTCCCAGGGAAGTTTGAATAACGACTAGTTTATTCTAAACTTTAATCAAATTATATTCTTTGCATGAAAATTTGGCTTATATTGTTGACTTAAATATATAAATAGTATATTAAATGCAAGGACGTAATGCAAGGAAAGTTATTTCAGAAGTGTACACATCTTTTTTACTGCACTGTACTGTTTCTGGGCGTAATGTAAACACAAGACGGATGTCACAGCCTGACATGGGATCCATCTGCCACATAAAAAATCAATGAAATATTCTGGTCAAAGGAAACTATTATGTGAATTATCAAAATTTAATTCTTGAACCTCCTCGGATACTAAATGAACACTGATGCATCTATTCCTGTTTACAAATTCCGCCCAAAGAGAACTGGTTTCATTATGTACGCAGAGTATACACGACCAAAATTAACTTTCCTTGCATTACACCCTTGATTACATGTATATTAAACTTATTTTTAATTAACAATAAAAAAATATACTCTCCTGGACTGTACAAATACCGAGATTCGTATGTACTGTATACCTACAGTATACACCTTCGGTTCGGTAAACTTTACACACACTCTTTTGGTACTGACACACACACATGACGTTTCCATCCTCTGCTTTTTCCCCTCTCGAGGGGTTTCACATCTATTGCATGAAGAACTCAGGGGCGAGGGAATTCAGAACGTGACGATTTCGTCGCAGAACACATTAATTCCAATATCCACCATGTATCCACGAAATAGCTCCGGAATAGTGTATAAAGATTAAATTAATCTGTAGATTAACAAACGATTCAAGATTTAGCATTGATCATGATATTTAAAAAAACAAGAGTTCCCACTTCAGGTCAGGAAAGAAGAGTAAATCCATGAATTAGTTGATGCTGGAGCCAATGTTAAAAAATTATTTGATGTTTGATAAAATATCTAATGTTTCTAAATGTAAAAGTAAAAATCAACTCAAATATTTTTATACTTAAAAGAAAATTCAATATTGATTCTTTATGATCTGTCAGATGCAGAATTAAATTTGATAATTGACATTTAAAGGAAAGTTTTAAAAGAGGAAAGACTCTCTAAAATCTTGTCAGGATTTAAAGAAATAACATCGTTACTGCAGTCATAGAGAACTCTCAACCCTACTGTTTCCTGATTCCCGTTCTTCAGGCCGCTAGGGATTTAAATTTACAGTCTAACTCTAGAGGAATGATTTCTTTCAGGAATCCAAATTTAATTTTATTTTACTCAGTTTATGCAATACTAGCGGCAACCCAGTTTTTCTTGGAAACTAACTAAAAGCAAACCCACTAAACTTAAAATTTGAAAATCAAGCTAAGAACATTCACATGGTTCTACCAAATTTTCCCATCGAAATTTGATGCAAATCGGTCCAGAGGTTCAAGAGTTATGATTGGATATTTATTTATATGTAAAAATACAATCAACGCTTTATTGAAACACCGCTTAAAGTAGTAATCTCTGTTTGTTTCTTTATGTCTGATCATAACTCAGGAGCCCCTTAACCGATTTGCCTCAAATTTTGATTGGGGAACTCCAAAGAACCACGGGAATGCTCTTAATTTGGTTTAAAAGGTCTAAGTTAAATATGCTGACTCCAATAAAGAAAATTATGTTTCCAAGCAAAGCTGGGTTCCCAAGCTAGTACTTGATATCAAGATGTACTGTGTACTGTACAGATTGTCCCAAAAAAATCTATAGATAATACGACTCCAACGAGGTTAAACAGTTGTAAGTGTACAGTACAGCTAACTGAGCACACAGGTAGAAAACTATCTTCTCCTTGTACGATTCTCATCGTCATGGTTTAATTTTACTTTTCATATTATTTGGATATTAATGTTGAACCCCGCCAAAATGGCAAACCTTAAACTGTGTCATCACATACATAATTGTTGTGGCTCTACGCACTGTGTTCAGGGACCGGTATAAATAGATTTTGAAACTGTACAAAAATGAAAAAATCGATCCATGTTGAGAGCCGTCGTACCTCACAGAATTCTTTTGGAACACACTGTCTGATTATCAGAAAGAATCTAAATGAGTTCCTTGGTCCTTTGTCTATATCTGATATGAAGTCAATTAAAAGTTAATATTTATTTCTTCCCAGACATATCAGTTCTGAACAGATGTCAGAATTAAGGTTCATGGTACTTCTCATTGAGATTGAATGTCAAATTAAAATTCTTTTAATTTCAGGAAAAATACCCTGATACTCCTACAACAAAGTTTAGTTTTGAGGAAAAATTGGTGAAATAATACAACAAGAATAAATACATTTGTGCTTCAATAATACATGGTGAAAATACAATAATCAATAAATTCCTTGTGTAATTCATGATGTAATTACGTGTAATATTTGCATGGTGTAATATTAGTATATTAACATGGTGTAATATTTGCATGTTGTAATATTTGCGTGGTGTAGTAATTACATGGTGTAATATTTACATGGTGTAATATTTGCACGTTGAAATATTTACATGGTGTAATATTTGCATGGTTTAATATTTGCACGTTGAAATATTTGCCTGGTGTAATATTTGCATGGTGTAATATTTACATGGTGGGATATTGTTGCTGAAAGTTAAATACTTTAGTATATTTAATTTAATTTAAGAAAGATAATATTAGGTTAAAAAGTAATATAGATTTTCTCGCCTAATTTTTTGCCGGCTATTACTGTTTCACAATTTATATTAAACTGAGGAATATTTGTAAAACAGGAGAGATTTTAACGAGTGAAAGCCAAATCCCAGAAGTTAAGTTGCACAACCTCACTACGTATGTCAGATTCAAACGCTTCAATGCCAAAATCCAGATCTCAGAATTGTAAAAAATATTACCAGTTCAAATTTAAAAATAGGGAGTAAAATGCGAGAAACATTGTGTAAATATTTGTGTATTTTATCTACACGAACATATCCATAAATCTGATAGTTTTCTGTTTTATAAAAGTTTGAAAGAGAGTAATATTTAAATGGTTCAGTATTTACATGTTGTAATATTTGCATGGTGTGATAATACTTACATGTTGTAAAATTAACATGGTGTAGTATTTACATGTTGTAATAATAAATAAACATGGTGAAATATTTATTGTATTATATATGAATACGTTAGATATAATTACATGAAGTAACTACAACATGATGTAAACAAATGATTTAATTACATGAAGAAGATACATGATGTGATATGTGGTGTAATGTGATTTTAAAACAATTAAGTAAATAAAGTTTTCTATTACTTTTTTACAGATTAACATATTTAGATGAATTTGGTTTGAAATGTGCATAACACTAGACATAAATGGAAATATTATAAGCCAAAAGTTTAGATATCTCATACTTCATGATTGACTTGACTATTGATTACTTTATGTACATATAGTTTATAACAGCATTCAGCATTGAGAAGAACCCTTAGCTTGTATTCTAATGTTCTAACTTCTTGCTTCTGGGTAATCAGCTGTTTTGTTCTCAGGAATAGCAGGACCTGTATGTTTAATATGCTCCATTCTTGTAGTTGTTAGATGTTCTGTATTCAACTCTGTTCTTTTGTCAGGAGTTAGGAGTCCTATAGTTGTACTATCTGTCAGCTGTTCTGTATTCAAATCTTCTCTTTTATTAGGAGTTAGATGTCCCATAGGTGTACTAGCTGTTAGCTGCTCAGTATTCAAATCTGGTCTCTTATCAGAAGTTGGCTGTCCTGTAGCTGTAACATCTGTTAGCTGCTCTGTATTTAAATCTGGTCTTTTATCAGAAGTTGGCTGTCCTGTAGCTGTAACATCTGTATTGTTTCCAGCTGGAGTTTCAGGTGGGTAGATTGGAGGGGCATCAAACACACGTGCTCCGTAGGGTCTTTCTCCAGCAGGAACCAGTTCAAACTAGAATATACAGGGTGTTCCAAGAATATCTTGGCAGTAGAGATATTGGGTACTTAGGGAACAATTTCTTTTAATTTTTCTTAAACAATGTTTTATTGTAAAGCTCTAAATTGCACTTATTAAAAGCTGTGATTTTTTTATTTCTATACCTCATTTTTTGTGATCAAAAATATTTTTGAGTTCTAAAATCAGTTTTCCCGATTTTTTAAAATTTTGAATCTGTGATCTGTTAGTATTAAAAAAACTGCGATAAGCACTTATGCATTTTAGCACTAGGCGTTTATGCAATTACGCCCTTATTAATAATTTTTGCTGATTTTTAAAGTTTTTTATCTCCTATTTCTTTTATTGAATATATTATCTTTGCTAAAATAAAAGGGCGACCAAGCTACTTTGCAAATTCATAAATCCATAGTTTTTGCAGATTTATTAAAAGTTTATTTCTATTTCTTCGAAATCACGTTTTTGTACTTTATCTGTAACTATAGAGGGAGACCAAGCCACCCTATACCTATAATTATATTTTAAGTGTATAAGTGTTCTTTTGTTTTTAATAAAGTATTTGAGAAGGAAAAAAAAAAAAAAAAAAAGTATTAAAAAAACTGAAAGACAACTATGGTTTTTCTAAAGTCCTGAGAACTTCGCCAAGTTAAAAAAAATTAACTAAATTTTTTTTTGGAAGTCCATTGGTTCATTCTTTAACTCGCTTTTTCGTCCTTTTATAAGTTTTCTGATTTTCTACGTGTACTCAAATAGAAGTATGAGGTCTAAAAAGAAAAAATTGTACCTTGAAATAGCTGAAATGTAATTTTTAGTAACTTTCTAATTGTCAGCAAAGTTATCATTTTATTCCCAGAATAAGAATATGAGTTTTGTTTACAAATCAGGAATTACACTTCAATTTTGATTATTATTATTATTATTGAAATAATTTAGTTTTTGACCTTGAAAATTACGGGGTCTTTGATAAGATTACTGTTTAGTGACAGCATTTATGCTTAGAGCTGGTTTACTACAGATATTTTAAATTCTTTTGATAATCAAAGCAATTTTCATAATCCCTGCATGCTTTGTTATTTTGGTTGTGCCTCTACAGCTAAACTGTTTAGAGGTGTCATTTTTAATATTTTTAACCTGGGACAAGGATTCAGATTCATCTTCCGATTCAACTTCAATAGTATATGGATCCCAATCCGCCTAAAATATTGTATGTTGCATAATACATATTGTATATTGTATATTGTATATTGTATATTGTATATTGTATATTCTATATTGTATATTGTATATTGTATATTGTATATTGTATATTGTATATTGTATATTGAATATTGTATTTATATTGTATATTGTATATTGTATTTATAATATCCCGCATAATTATCGAAAAATAAATCTTTAACAACCGTTTAGGCATCATATCAATTTGAAGATCATGGCTTTTTTGAGGCTTTTTTTACTGAATTAAATAGATTTATTTTAACAGTTATAATCTCTAATTTCTTAAATGAATGGTGTTCTTAAGTAGCGCGAAAACCAAAGCTGCGTTCCACTTTAAATTTGAATAAAGTTCTTGTATTTTATGTATTTTCAAATACCTTTCAATGTGGTTAAATTGCTAGATAACATAATTACATTATCCATGATATTAAAAAATGTAAATAATGCATACTTGGTTGGTTCTAATGAATAGAGCGTATACCAGATTACCAATACAAACTATTGTAGTGTTGGTAGCAAAGTTCCCAATCCACTGATCTCTAGAATACAATTAGATTACAGATTACAGGGGAAGAAAGTACCAAACTGTTCTAATGTTTTAAACCTGAGTGTCAGGTTTGGGCACAACTAATTAGTAACTCTACCTGTGTCAAGGGTAAATATCGAATTAAAAAAAACTATAATCAGGACGAGAACTACATATAACAACATTTACTTCTTTTTTAAATTTAAACTGTGAGTGATCGGTCATTTTCAAAACAATTCAAGGTTTTTCGCACATTCACGATTTCGAATCTTGGACGAGTTAATGAACATAAACCAACTTTTTAAAGAATCCATAATTTGAAAATATTCAACAATTCAGAACCTAGCGTACTTTCATAAACTACAGAATAGCATGAATCACTAAAAATATTTTTATCTTCTAAATTCTTCTAGATTTTGTTCCCATTTTATGGTTTTAAATACGGAGATTACTGTTGCTTTTAAGTTTTCTCCAGTTTTATTAAAAATATTCCGCATTTTTCTGTTCAATTTAATGGTAAGAACTTAATATGCATATTTTGCATTTTTATTGTTTCGTTATTTAAATTATACTTTATGCGAAAAACTTGTTTTGTTACCAAATTATGTAAAGGCTTAAAAAGTATTATTGATTCAAATAGTGAAATGTCTCGAAATCGTAACATGTTCTAAAACGTGTTTTTGTTTAAAAAATGTGGTTAAAATGGAAATTTGTTGATTTGTAGGGGTTTAGTTTTTCAATTTTTGTTATAAAAATGTAGCCTTAACGATTCTAAATTAAAGCATGCTTAAGTTGAAAAATATAAATAGTTAGAAAAATAAGTTTTGGCCCAAACCTGGCACCAAATCACGTTTTGCCATTTATATAATTATGATCTAAATAAATTGCGCTTATTGACAGATTTGCCTAAAATTTTGATGAAGAACTTTTCGTTTGTTAAGATCTTTCCTATTCGTTGAAGAACAGTGTTGGCTTTTTTAAAAATCTTAATTAGTTTTTGAGAAATAAATAACTTGAAGATATTCCAAAAAAATTAGTTTAACTTCGCAATCACAATTTCAAGCCCAGCATAACAATATTATTACTGACGAAATTGAGCCTTTGCCGCAAACTCAAACTGTCTAATATAATATCTTTGCAACCTGATTGTGTAAAACTTTTACATTTCAAACATAGAATATATGATCAAACAGAATTCATAGTTTAAGATATCAATTGTCTACGACTTTAGGTTGCAAAGGTAAAGAAATAAAAATTCAGAAATTGTTTTATTAATAAATAAATATATAAATATATATATATATTTGTCTGAACCTTGTGCTGGTTTTAAACCACCCCATGAATAGTGGAACCATGATACTTGGTATTGTACTAGAAAACAAGCTTGCTAATCCAAAAAGTTGACGGTTGTAGGTTGGTGACAGCTCTCTGATCAAATCCAGTACAATTATTATATACACACTATCATTTACGCGTCATTTTATTTTATCCTTCATTCGGAGAGTTTCGTGTCTGATTCACAAAAGTACCAGTTAAACCTATTTCTAATAAAGATGACAGGCTTATCCATGTTTATCTTGTAATCGAACATTTTGTTTACAAGCTTTTTTATATACAGGGTGTCCCTCATCATATTGGACCGTTTATATACAGGGTGTCCCTCATCATATTAGACCGTTTATATACAGGGTGTCCCTCATCATATTAGACCGTTTATAGCTCTAATTGTTGACCAATCAGAATATTTAAAAAGAGTGAAACATTTTAAAAAGTTGTATAAAACTAATATTAAAACATGTACGAAGAAAAATCTCTGGTTTTCTAGTTTGTTGTGCTCATTTTGCCGTTAAAGCTTTGAGATATGGTATGGTACACTCTGATAAATATTACACGTACTCCTCTGCACCTTTATTAATTGCAAATTGGCGGTACAGTCCAAATAGGACTGCAAAGCTTGGCCCAGCTCAGATATTCAAATGTACACCAGTGGGACGTGATTGATATTTACATTCTAGACGTTACAGAAAATGAATATTGTTGAAAACTACGCTGGATGCAAAGAATATCAGAGATTTTTTAAGGAATATGTGCAATTTGTCATAGCTGCGTTAAGTTCATAAAGTACTGTAGCGTACAGTAATTTAAATATCATTTTATAAATAAACACACAGAGATTTCTGTCCTCATCACCAGTCATAGGATAAAAGGGTATTGTTGTAAATCGGGTATTCCCTTCTTTGCATGGAGAGTCATTTGAAATCAGACTTTAAGGAAGAAAACTATATACATATATATAATGTACTGTATTCCCTGAATGAAGTATATCCTACTAGATTACCAGCAACTCTAAACTATATATATATATATATAATGTACTGTATTCCCTGAATGAAGTATATCCTGCTAGATTACCAGCAACTCTAAAGCTTCCAAATATTTGAATGAGAGCAACAAACCATCTCTTGTTTACAATGCTGCAGGGTAAGAAGGGTAGGATAAGGTAGGGTAGGGAGGATATAGCACAGATGATAGCTCCGACCCGCCTGACCAGCAAGGTTGGTATATTCTTCTGTATAGCCAGGTCACCTAGCCAAGCACTGGTCCAACCAAACACAACCTGGGAAATATTATTAGGTATTGTCACCATGAATGCTGCTTCATTTATACTGTATCCATGGATCTCTTGAAGATATTTCTTCATCATCATCGTCATAACTGGAGATTGCCAGGACAAAGCAATGGATTGAAGAATAGATAACAAGACGTCTCGATCTGTTATAATCTTGTACCAAGGAGTTTTCAGCTTCTCCTTCCTGCTCTTCATCAGTTTCATGTTCTTCTTAAAGGAACTCAACTTGGAAATTATCCTTGATCCTCTACGAACATGAACCTGACAGGATGGTTTGATTTTTGGTTTAAACTCCCGTCGTTTATCCTCTGCTATGAGTTCCTTTTCAGGTTCGGATAGGAAAGGACTTTCAAGCGGATCATCTGTGATTGTAACAAAGAACGCTGTCCCTATATACCAAAATATCAAAATATAGCATTTATCAAATTAAGAATAAAAATATCACAAAAGAATAATTAATGGGATTTATAAGATAAACAAGTATTTATTACAAAAATGCTTGAAACAATTGTACCAAAATAAAATGTAATAAGAAGTAATAAAAAATTTAAGTTTCGCTCCTTTATTTTGTCAAATATGAATCATAAATAAACAGTGGGGTATTCGTAAAACAACGAAAGAGAACTATGAAGACGATATTCAAGCAATTTAATGTGTATTTAATGTATGGTTATAAAGCGAATATTTTAAACAGTTACATGAGAGTTATTGAATCAATGCTACGCTACATGTTCCTTGGAATATCTAAATCATAACTTAAGTCTGACAGTTGCCGTCGTATACACATATTTTATGAATCCTACTGTACTAGGATAGAATAAAAAGAATAATACCGAATACTATGCATGCAGCTCCAGGCATATAAAATAGGAACTCCCATCCTAGGTTCGGATCATTTATCAAGTCTCCACTTTAAATGATAATGTTTAATTTTTTTAATGTTTTGATCATTCTATTTGTACAGCATATTGAAACTATAGGTTTAACCAATTCATGAAATAAAGTAGATGAAATGTGCCAAGCACATTCAGTCAATTATATTACAACTTATTAAAAGGGTTAAAAGGATAAAAAATACGCAATAAATATTTAATTTGTTTTTTTAAAGAAACTGTAATTCTGCAAAACCATGAAACAGTCAAGCCATATCTTATATAGCCATATTACATTTGTTGATTGTTGTCAATCCAATTCAAACATAAAATTATAAAGTATTGGATTTGTATAATATGATTATTTACCTCAGGAAGAAAAACATTCTCCCCATCTCACATCCCAGCCAAACCACCACATTCAGTCTACATTGCTCAGTACTTAGAAACCATAACTAAACAAACCACCACATTCAATCTACATTGCTCAGTACTTAGAAACCATAACTATAACAAACCACCACATTCAGTCTACATTGCTCAGTGTTTAGAAACAATAACTAAACAAACCAACACATTCAGTCTACATTGCTCTGTACTTAGAAACCATAACTAAACAAACCACCACATTCAGTCTACATTGCTCAACCCAAAATGTAGGACGAAGTCATGAAATATAGATATTGCATTTTAAGGAGAAAGAATATTTTGAATTAAAATTAATCATCTTTTAAGATATGTGATCTTACCTGTATAATCATAGGTATTGCAGGACTGATGATGGCAGAGTAAAACCCAGTAAAAAATCTACAAGAAAATTGTTTCATATATTTACAAATCATTAGAATTCTTTTTAAATATTTGCCATCTTTATCATCTAAATCATCTTTCTGCATTTTTAAAATCCTGGCTATGTCCTTGTCTAACAGAATTTATTATTTGAATATCCGAGGTATTCGAAATTGGGTTGCAAAGATATAATTAAGAAAATGTTTTAAAAATTTCGTGGATTTTCAAATTAAATGAAAATCGAATTTTCTTTGAGGCAAACTTTAGAAATTTTGATCATTCATAAACCTTCCCTGGGGTCATGTGATGTCCCATACAAAAGTTTGGCCCGATCGGTTCAGCCATTTTGACATTATTAGATACAAATAAACATACAGAATTATTCTTTTTCCTAATGGGTTCCAGAAGAACTATACAAGAGTGGACGGTGTCCAATGTTCTTCTTTTCTTTAACTTTTTTTCCCTTTACTATATACTAGCCTTAGAGGGCACTTCGCGCCCATCTTCTAAATTAATTGTGAACATGTTCTCTTTGTGTACATCGTAAAACAAAACAAAAATAATTCGCGGATTTTTACAAAAAATTTCGCGGATTTTCAAAATTTTTAAAAATTTAATGACGATCGAATTTTGATAGAGACAAATATTTGAAATTTTGATTTTTCATAAACCTTCCCTGGGGTCCCTAGATGTCCAACAAAAAATTTGGGCCCGATCGGTTCAGCCGTTTTGACGTTCATTGGATACAAACAAACAAACAGACAAACAGACAGACAGACAAGCCAAATTTATATATAGATACATATTTTCATATGAATTTTATCGATATGTTTTCTAACATTTCTCATCAAATGTTAAGAATTTATGAAGATTTTATTCCAAGAAATCAGTCTGTTTTGACTCCATCGTGTTTTTCAAAATGTTAGACTGATATTTCAACAATAAAATCAATATCTTTAATTTAGAATATGATTTTATATAATATATAATTATATCATTTCTATTTTTAAATTATCTATAATATAAAATCGACGCTGAAGCAGGCTTAAAGGGACTGTAAAGGAAATCCTCAGGATTTGATTGAGACCTATAAGAGTTCTGTCTGATGTTCCTGTCTCGAGAAATTGATATTAAACTTTGTCAAAATTATACAAAACGTATATATGTAAGATTCGCAGTATTAAACAGATCATATTAAACAAATACGCAACCAATCTGAAAATGACAATATCACAGAGGAGTCTGAGAAATTCAGGTTTGCTCCTGTCTTTACCTGAATTTAATAATTTTTAATTTTTAATAGATATAATTGTTAATACTATTTATACGTCCGGATCATGTCACCAGGAATCCAACCAATGTCAGTGGAGTATTATTATTACGTGTCTCCTTCTGTATCACGTGACTAGTATACTGCGCGGCAATTGGATGGAGTTCTGGTCACGTGATACGGAAGTATATCTTACATATATACGTTTTGGGATAATTTTGACATAGTTTTACATCAATTTCTCGAGACAGGAACATCAGATAGATGTCGTATAGGTATCGTTAAAAACCTGAGATTCTCAGGTTTTATCCTATACCCCCTTTCATTTTTCCTTTAAAGTCCCTTTAAATCAAAACCAGTTTCGCAGATTTACAGAAATAAACTATGAGAAATGCACAAAGATTAGTTTGATGACCATAAAATAACTTATCAAAGTGAAGCAGTTTGAGAAACTTATTTGCAGAAAATTATCTTTTCGAAGATCGCGTGAAAACAAAAATATTTGTTTTAAAAATGATTCACCTTTTTACGGACCCTCTTGGCTTATTAAAAATAATTTTTTAAAGAAATAAACCTTACAGCTAGTATAATACACATAAAGAAAATCGAAAATTTATCAAAAAGAGTGAATTGATTGTGTACATATGCAGTCCTGGACAATACATTAATTTATTCTCTGGAAGTGACATTAGGTTATTTCTTGTACTTATTGTTTTCTTGTTTTTTTATTCTTTTTTTATTTAATAAAGAAATTCTTTGAGCCAAGCAATGTGAAGAAAAATATGTGCATATTATATTAAACAAAGTAAACATTAAAAAAAAGGTATTGAGCCTTTGTAACAAACTCTGGTTTTCTAATACCTATATCTTTGCAACATAATGTAGTAGACCTTTGATATCTCAAACTGTGAATCCTGTTAGATCAAATAATCTAAGTTTGAAATATCAAATGTCTTCACCATATCAGGTTGCAAAGATATAGTGATTACAAAATTTGAGTGTGTGGCAAAGAATCAGTTTCTTTGGGGTTCCTTTGATTTTAATCATTCTTTTTTTAAACGACTCACGTTGATTTCTTTGTCCTGGTTTTATTATTAGATAGATAGATAGATAGAACAGCTATTTTATCTCAGAAAATTGTTAAATTTCACTTTCTTTGTATTCGACACTTATTCCCGGTTTTATGGCTTGAAATCATATATTTACATGATTTATTCAGCTATGTTTGGTGTATTCTGATTATAATAAATAAAAAAAAACTTGACTGGAATCATTGTAATACAGCCAAACGATACTTAAATATAAAATTTAAGCTCAGCCATCGACTGAAAATATTGTTTCTGAATGTTAAAACTGAAAGAATTAACAAGTTTAATAAATTTTAAAATTAAAATGCTTATAGGATTTACCTAAGAATAAGAACACTGATGTATCCTCCTTCTTTTGCTATCGGAGGTGTTATAATGTTTAGAAATCCAGGGTATACAATACACAGGGCAAATACAAACCTGCATTATTATCAATTAAATTATCTATCATGAAAAACAATAAAAGGAGTTGACTTTTTGCAACTTTTTTTAATCCTATATCTTTGCAACACAATGTCGTTGACCTCCAATCTTTCAAACTTTTAATTTTGTTTGATAAAAAGTATTATTTGAAATATCAAAGGTTAACACCATCAGGTTGCAAAGATATAGGGATTCGAAAATTTGAGTTTGTGGAAAATACTCAATTCCTTTTTAGAGTAAAACATTATATATTATAGAAATACTACGATTATAACTATACATTTTTTATAGATTTTAGAAAAATTGTAATTATTTAGTAAAAGATTTCAGTTTGTTATATAAAAACAACACCAAAAAAAATTACCTCATATTAATATAGTCGTAAACTATTAATGTAACGAGTGTACCCAAAACAGATCCGACAGCAATGATAAGATTTAATAAAGCCTAAAACAAAAAGATTACTGGATTAAAAAGGGAGTACTCTCCCTGAGTTAGAGGACATAGACGACAGAATTTTGAAAAAGTTAATGGGATTTATTTTGTGGATTAGATAAGTCAGAAAATTATAAAACGGAGTCAACATTTTTTAATGTTTGCCTCTATAGAATCACCCCAAGGAAAAGGTCCATCGAGAACATTTGTATGGCATCCTTCAGATTCGTCAGGAACCTAAGAAAAAACGACAATTTAAAAATAAATTAAGGAGAAATTATCAGATGGAATAAGTTAAATTAAAGATGATTTTGTTGAATATTAACATGTTAAAGAAATAAACAAGAAAATAATAAACCTGAATGCAAGTGTTAATATGGTCTATGCTGTGGAAATGTTCCCGTAGCTTTGGTCGTGCCCAGTCTATAGCAGTATGATTTATCATTCCATCCAGAGCAAAGATGATGTTGGTTTGTATCAGAGTTATAGAGAACACACACATGAAAGGTATAAAACCTGCAATTAATAATCTTCTTTTGTTTACTATCATTTTCTTTATTTTAAACGATTTGCGAATTTTCTCAATTTGCTTTGCAGATTTCCGTCACCAATGAAAATTTGTAATCCAAATAAAAGAAATAGAGTTTCTTGTTTCTTGAATTTCCAGATGTCTAGTCTTCTGTTCCAAGTTCAGAGGAATCAATCCTAACTTTGTAAACTTACTTTCAAATATTTACTTTCCTCTTTGGAAAATAAAAAAGCTAAAAGTTTCGTTTCTCTTACTAAAAAATAAGATCTGTATAAAAGAAAATCGTAGCGAAAAGTATGAAGATTTGTCAAAATATGCGAAATTTAAGCTTTGCACAAAGAATTCATTGGCTCTTTCATTATCTTGGCGTCCTGAATGCAGTATACTGTGAAACTATCAATTTATCCCGTTTGATGAGAATTTCCTCACAGTATACGAAATTAATCTAAACCAGTTTAGAAGCAACACAAGAACAGCGCCTTTTTATAAACTAAAAAATACCATCAAATCTAAAAAATATTGATCTTTACTTGAGAAAGTTTTTATAAGACTGTTTGAATCTAAATCGTATAATGTTTTTTCAAAATGTATTTTTCCTTTTACAAACTTGATTAAAACCCTTTGAAGAAAAAAAAACATATAATGTACTGTATTCCCTGAATGAAGTTTATCCTGCTAGATTACCAGCAACTCTAAACTATATATATATATAATGTACTGTATTCCCTGAATGAAGTATATCCTGCTAAACATTTTAAAAAGTTGTATAAAACTAATATTAAAACATGTACGAAGAAAAATCTCTGGTTTTCTAGTTTGTTGTGCTCATTTTGCCGTTAAAGCTTTGAGATATGGTATGGTACACTCTGATAAAAGTCTCTGAGTTTGTATAAATAAAACAAATTTACAAAAATCAACAAAATCAAGAAAATTAACAAGCTATATTAAGATTTAAGAAACAAAAATTTAAAAAACAGAAATATTGTTTTTTCTCTTTAATGATGTGTGCCAACCAATTAAACTTTAAAAGGAACTAAGATTTAGCAAAAAAATGTCATTTTATAATCTTTAGATCTTTTGCAATGCATGCGATATCGTAGTCATTTGATATTTCAAACTATTAATTCTGATGGATTTAATTGTATCAGTTTGAAAGATGAAAAATATCAGAATTATAAAATTTAAATTTTGGGCACCAAGACTTATTTCCTTTGCCGACGGACCCAAAGTTAAAGAATATTTTTTTTTAAAGTGAAAATAGTTTCAATAATTGTGTTCTCTCGACTAGAATAATTTCATACTTTGGGTTAAAGGCTCGGTAATAGTTTAATGTTGGGTTGAAGAAATGTTTAAACTTAGAAACAAAGAGAATAAGAACACTATAGGCGATAGAGAAGAAGCAACAAGGGGGGGGGGCGGGGCGACCGCCATTCCCTAGATTTCCTCAAGGGGTTCCCTAAAGATAAGATGCGGGGAGGTTATAGGTAAAAAAAACTGGAAAAATGGTAAATAATGTTTTGTTTAAGATAATTTTCATGAGGGATGACCTTTATATATACCCTACCATTATCACAATCATGAATCTGGACTGAATGACTTGTGACAAGTGGCCTTATTATCATTAAAAAGGGCTAAGTGATGGGGCCTGATTTTCATGGCCTGGTATCTTCATTAAAAAAAATTTCACTTAAAAATGATAAATGATAAAATGATAAAATGATAAAATGATAAATGATAATTCATATTGTTTGTTAATGAAGAAAAAACAACGACAAGAAATAACTAATTATGGAAAGATGGAATCCCCTTCGATCTAAACATTTAAATAAAGCTGAACATTTTGATGAATAGATCAGAAATATCTTAGTTTGAGTATCCAGTGAAAATGATATAATCCTGATACCTCTGTGAAATTGTATGCTCTTTGTTCCTAAGTCTTGTTAAACCCGGAGCAAAGGGGATTATGGTTTAGCCAGAATGGAGAATTAAAGGCCTTAGAATATTATGTAATGCACGGATATATATGTAAAATATATGCATATATATATATATATTTGTATATATCAGTGGAAATATATTTATATATATATATATCACGATATGGTTGTAATGTTTTTTTTCTAAACTCTGTGCAATACTTTAAACAACTGCAACATTCGCTTGGTTTTATTTTTTACCGTACAAAATAAGTTTTAAAATCACGTTTTGTTTTATTTTCCTTGAAAACCTGAGGGAGGAACCATAAAAGAATAAAAAAAACTGTATTTTAGGGACTGTACAGTAATATCCACATAGATTCAGCCTGATTAGAAACAGTCTCATCAAGTTTAAAGACAGGGTCCACTTTGAAGTGTCGCAACGTCTTGGGCTTTAACTCACAAATGCAGTTTACATGTAAAGGATTTGAGTTTTTGCCACATTTTCTAATCCTTATATCTTCACAATCTGATGGTGTAAACCTTTGATATTTAAGACTTTGACTAATTGATCCAACAAAATTCATAGTTTGGAATATCAAGTCTACGAAATCGGGTTCCAAAAATCCGGGGTTAGAAAATCTAAGTTTCTGGCAAAAACTCAGTTCCTGACAGTGCTTTAAAGCACTTGTTGTTAGGTTTGGTTTTTAAGAAGTAATTGGCAAAATTCTCAACGATTTTTGCTTGATAATGTAAGACCTTTTTAATTACAGTGTATCAAGTGATTACATTTCTTATAGTGGAATAAAGATGCACAACGGACCCTAGTCATATACTGTAAAACCTTGATTGGTTGGTCAATTCATAAGGTTAGACATCATAAATAACTAAAACAATTCTATTTCAAGTATGCTTGGTGAAAATACATGTTTTTTAAAAAAGATATAAGCATGAAAAATTACCAATTTCAACACAAAGCGTGGCGCTGAGGACCCTGAATTCCCTTTATTTTTGTTATATAAAATACACAATTACAATTGTATCCCTAATATGGTATAACAGTTGTAAGAAAGGTTGGGGTTAATGTTGGAGAAATATAAGATTACAAACTCATTTCTCATTATTACATCTGTAATATTAGCTGACATAAAATATACATAAATATCTAATATGATAATATGTATTTCTTATGTTCCAGTAGACATGGGAAATAGGTACAACTTTTAAAATTTGATTTACAAAAAAATTGAGGATCTGAAGTCATAACTTTTGTGTCGTAAATCTCGGGATCAAGCATTGATTTCCTTTGATGGTTATACCCTGCAGGAACAACATTATTAGGGGTATCAATAATTTATCTTCATATTTAAAATTACCTGCATTGGATATCGAGATCAAGCTTTCAAGCTTTACAATATCTGCACAGCAGTTCCGATCTCTGTCGGTTTTACAACTCCAAAAATGATAATTCTTCTTTTTTTCTAGTCTTTATTGTTAGTTCATTAATGTCTTCATTACATTTTTTCTATTGTCACATTTTAAAATGAACTGAATACAGCTTTAATTTACAATTTTTTAATCTCTAAATCTGTGCAACTTAATGGTGTAAAACTTCATTATTTCAAAATTTGCAAAACTGTATTAGACTAGCTCTACAGAAATCACTTTGTAAACAACTGATTCAATTTATTAAGTTCAGTTTAAGTTTAGTTTCCAAGCTTGATTTCCTGGCTTGCTGATTATTAGATTGATTTCCTGGCATGATGATAAATAGATTGATTTCCTGGCTTGCTGATTATTAGATTGATTTCCTGGCTTGCTAATCTATAAATTGATTTCCTGGCCTGCTGATCATTAGATTCATTTCCTGGCTTGCTGATCTATAAATTGATTTCCTGGCTTGCTGATCATTAAATTGATTTCCTGGCTTGCTAATTTATAAATTGATTTCCTGGCTTGCTGATTATTAGATTGATTTCCTGGCTTGCTGATTATTAGATTGATTTCCTGGCTTGCTGATTATTAGATTGATTTCCTGGGTTGCTGATCTATAAATTGATTTCCTGGCTTGCGGATCTATAGATTGATTTCCTGACTTGCTGATCAATAGATTGATTTCATGGCTTGCTGCAGATCAATAAATTGATGTCCTGACTTGCTGATCCAAAAATTGAATTTCTGGCTTGCTGAGCTATTGCGATTATTTCTTGGCTTGTTGGTCTTTATATTGATTTCCTGGCTTGCTGATTATTAGATTGATTTCCTGGCTTGCTGATTATTAGATTGATTTCCTGGCTTGCTGGTCTATAGATTGATTTCCTGGCTTGCTGATTACTAGATTGATTTCTAGGCTTGCTGATTATTAGATTGATTTCCTGGCTTGCTGGTATATAGATTGATTTCCTGGCTTGCTGATTATTAGATTGATTTCCTGGCTTGCTGATTATTAGATTGATTTCCTGGCTTGCTGATTATTAGATTGATTTCCTGGCTTGCTGGTATATAGATTGATTTCCTGGCTTGCTGATTATTAGATTGATTTCCTGGCTTGCTGATTATTAGATTGATTTCCTGGCTACTTGAGCTATGTATTGATTTCTTGGCTACTTGAGCTATAGATTGATTTCCTGGCTACTTGAGCTACAGATTGATTTCTTGGCTACTTGATATATAGATTGATTTGATATTAAAATCTAATTTTATGTTTGTAAACAGGAACATTTATCATGAAGAGGGATTTTAAGTTTTTTTACCCAATATCAGAGATTTTCTTTCAAACTTGCAGTCTTATATTTCTATTTTATTTTATTAGTTAAAATGTGGAGCAAAAACTTTCTTATAATCAAAATAGATTTTACAATTTATTTACGATTGAATTGAAAATTAATCGTTAATTCAAACGAATTCGAACAATAGTACTAAATTTCTCATTTTTATTTTGTAAATTAAATTTTGCATTTTTTCCATGGAAAATTTATTTGGCCAGTTTTTTATTCAGAATGTTTTTTTTTTAAAATTTCAATCTTTTAAATTAACAACACTTTGTTTAATTTAGAAAAGATAGTGATTGTGTGTGTAGCGGATCTGGATTATTTTTAACCCACATTTTGCAACTTTATTTTGTAGACCTTTGATATATAGAAAATTAAAAT